TCGAGATCGACGCTTCGGATGTTGGCGCCGGCACCATCCTGTCCCAAGGCGGCCCAGATGACAGGCTACATCCCTGCGCCTACTTCTCCAGGAAGTTTTACACCACCCAGCAGAAGTACGGTGTAGGGGATCGCGAGCTGCTGGCCATAAAATGGGCGTTGGAGGAATGGAGGCAGTGGCTTCTGCGCACCACTCAGCCGTTCACCATCTGGACTGACCACCAGAACCTAACCCACATCCTGTCCGCCAAGCAGCTAAATCCTCGCCAGGCTCGCTGGGCCCTCTTCTTCGAACCCTACGAGTTCCATCTCGCCTATCGCCCCGGGACTAAAAACCAAAAGACGGACGCCCTCTCCCGCCAGTTCACACATTCAGCGCCCACGTCCGAGCCGGCGCCCATCCTCCCGGAGCACCGCTTCGTGGCCCACCTTGGGTGGCCGTTGGAGGAGGCCATCCAAAACGCCCTCCGGGATGACCCAGCGCCGCCAGAGACCCCCGCCAGTCGGCTCTACGTCCCTGCGGCCTGTCGCAGTGAGGCGTTGGCCTGGGCCCACTCATCACGCCTGTCTGGTCACGCGGGCTTCTCTCGGACTCTCAAGTTCTTGAAACGGGCTCTCTGGTGGCCACGTATGGAGAGGGACGTTAAGGAATTCACGAGCGCCTGTGACGTCTGCGCCCGCTCTAAGGCATCCACCCAGACTCCGGTTGGCACCCTCAGACCTCTTCCGGTGCCCAGCCGCCCCTGGTCCCATGTGGGGCTGGACTTTGTCACAGGTCTCCCGCCGGTCAACGACCTCGACACCATCCTAACGGTCACTGACCGGTTTTCCAAAGCTGTTCACTTCATCGCCCTCCCGGTCCTTCCCTCGGCCCGACGCACTGCAGAACTGTTTCTGGAGAATGTGGTGCGTCTCCACGGGTTCCCGGTCGACGTGGTCTCAGATCGTGGTCCCCAGTTCACGGCCCGTTTCTGGAAAGCCTTCTGCCATCTAGTGGGAGCTTCTGTCAGCCTGTCTTCGGGCTACCACCCACAGACCAACGGTCAAACGGAGCGGGCAAACCAACAGTTGGGCCGGTACCTCCGCTGCTTTGTCTCGGCCCAGCCCTCGCAGTGGCCTAAGTACCTCCTCTGAGCGGAGCTGTCTCATAATCTCCACACCTCTTCGGCCACTCAGATGTCCCCTTTCGAGGTCTGCTATGGCTACCAGACCCCAGTCTTCGCCCACCAGGAACCCGAAGTCGCGGTGCCAGCCGCTCAATCCCTGGTGAGGCGCTGCAAGAACGCATGGATCAAGGCACGGGCCTCCATTACCCGGGCCAACGCCCGTTACTCACACCAACACCTCCGCAGGCACCGCCCGGGTCCCTCCTATGCTCCAGGGGACAAGGTCTGGGTGTCCACGGCAGGCCTCCGGATCCGCGCCAGTTCCAGGAAGCTCGCTCCCCGGTTCCTCGGGCCCTACCCCTTGCAGGAGGTCATCAACCCGGTCACGTACCGGCTGCGGCTGCCTACAAGCCTTCGTGTCCATCCTACCTACCACACCTCCCGGCTCAAGCCTTACGTGGAATCCCCCCTCCTGCCACCTCAGGCTCCAGCACCTCCGCCGGCCCGCTTCCTCGATGGTGAGCCCATCTACACAGTCCGGCGCATTCTGGACGCTCGCCGCCGGGGTCGGGGCTGGCAGTACCTCATAGATTGGGCGGACTACGGCCCCGAGGAACGATCCTGGGAGCCGGCCCGCTCCATCTTGGACCCTGCCCTCATCTCGGACTTCTGGGCCCACCGAGGTGGCCCGGGGACTTCTGGAGCCGTCCCTGGACCGGGGGGTCCTGTCAGAGTCCAAGCCCCCAGGCCGGGCTCTCCCAGCTGACCGGCTTCCGTCTTGGACCACATTACCCAGCATGCCCCTCGCGGGGATTCCCTCCACGTTTCACCTGCGTCAATCCATGTCTATTTATGGAAGACGCTACACCGGCTCTTCACTCAGTCATCGTTCCACCGTGATCCATGATCAGAGTATTTCCAAAGCTACTACAGCTAAACCTCCACCTTTCCTCCTCAGACCTCATCCGTCAGCCTTTCCAGCACCGCTTTCAGCCCACTGTCTGTATAATAAAAGCTCTTACTCCCGAACCCAGTCTTCGAGTCTGACATTACTACAGCAGCCACTCAGCTATGGAGGCTGCTGGCCTACGGAGGCTCGGAGCTGGACTCTGGCAAAGGTGAACAGGATCAAACTACTTTTGAGGAGGGAGAGCTTTGCTGCATTTTTGCTACTGAAATAAGACGTTTCAACCAAGCACTGTATGCTTTTTACATTTTACAAGTGTGATTAAAACATTTAGTAAAAATAAACATTTTAAATTCTCACATTTTAGGGGTGCTGGGAGATGATTTAGGGGTGCTTCAGCACTCCCCAACATAGGCTAAAAACGCTCATGGTGCTGATGGCAATTCTGAACGAAATGAACAAGCTCCATGCCAAACCAACGGAAAAAAAGGTTAGAAGCAAGGTACGAAACAGACACTGTAAAATAATTATAAGTATTAAGATGTTAAAAGTATATAAATGTCAAAAGAAAACAATACATAACCTAAGATCTACAACCAGGGGCAGCCCTAGCTCGTTTGGTGCCCTGGGCGATCACTAGAGCTGGGGAAAAATGATCGATTCTAAGATGCATCGCGATTCAGCCGTGCATGATTCCACATCAATGCAGCAATGTGACATAATGAGATTCTCTCCCTATGTTTATGTCGGGGGTCGGCAACCGCGGCTCTGGAGCCGCATGCGGCTCTTCCATCCATCTGATGCGGCTCTCTGTGCTTGTAAAATAATGAATGGATATTTAAATAAAATGCTTTATATTTTACTGCATAAATTTTACATCTGTATGCCAATTCTAAATGTAAAGATTGTCTGCGTAAACCTGAACAGTTCCAACCCGGTCTTACTGTGAGACCAGGTTGACGGGTCACGCTTGTGCGTAATCATATGCGTGTTCTGAGCTGACGAGGATGTGAGATTCTGGGATTCTCCTCAGCTCCTGGATGTGTCGCCACATTGGAGACAGGAACAAGCACTATTCAGCCAAAGTTTCATAGAGACAAGTCTCGCTTCAGTCGCAGGAATCTTCCTGCATGCGCTTTCTGCGACATGCTCCAAGCCCCTCTCCACATCTTCAGCTCGCTGTGCGCCGTACGTACGCGCTGACAGCGAGCTGCACTGAGCTCAGTGTCAAGCTCAGATGGAAATCATTCCTTAAGTGATTTAGCTACATCTGCGCGAAACGAATAAAGTGTCAGTTCGTCTGCATGCATCGGGGTAATTCTTTCTCCGTCAAAATAAACTGTTAAATACAGGAACTATCCGGTCAACACAACACAAGCCCTGCTTTTAACTGATCTGTTTTCTTGTGAAAATTGTTGCAAAGAGATATAATTTAACTTGATTGACACCAGAGCCAGGCACACTGCGCCGTTATCTCCGTCACTTTAAATGAGGGAAAAACAAAATGATCGGATCTTTTTCTGACCTTCCCCACCTACAAAGTTTAATTACAACAATCAAATGTGACAGAGCCTGGATTTGTATTCTGAACAGTCTAAACATGTTTTAAAAAGAAACGTATGACAAAAGTGGCACCTGCTCAGTAAAACCACCAACAGGGTGAAAAATATCAAAATACTGTAGGCAGAGACGGGCTACAACTTCTGGATCCACTTTGTATAAATCATTTTATTGATTATCGTCTTATGAAAGATAGCTTTGACGTACACGAGCGACCGGTACTGGCTGCTTGTGAGCAGCTCTTTGCTGTCTGAGGGTAGGCCCCGCCCGCAACGCCGCGGCTGCTGCGGTGTTTTCTTTACTTTGGGAAACGGGTAATAATGTCTCTTTGATGGGAACAGGTTGCCGACCCCTGGTCTATGTCTATGCAGGACAATAAAGTTTTGAGGTTTTATAATTACTTCTGGGGGCAGAGTTGCAATGATATGCGCACTGAGTTGCCCTAGCGCCAATTTAAAACAGAATTGGCGGACAGGGATACAGGGCCAACATTACCAGTGATCAAAGATGCACCCGTTACATTTAAATCTGGATGTCTAATTTCGGTTTTGGGATCCTGGATGTGAAAGAACCACTTAACACAGTATTTGTTTACTATTTTTAAGTTCAGTAATATTCTATCTTAAAGCTCTACCGAAAACATTATTTCTTATATTATTTAAGTAATTATAGGCAGCACACTTTAAAAATTATTGCTCACTATAGTGAATAGATGAATGTTCTGTTTTTCAGGGATTTCGAAATCAAAAAGAAATTGAAAACTATTCTACTGCTTTTATTAAGTAATGAACATTTTTGTGTGAAGAATCCTGATGCATTTCAGACTCAAATCGAATCGTTAGGCAAATATTCAGAATCGGATCGAAACGTGAGGCAGGTAGAGATGCACACCACTAGCGATCACACTTCCTTATGCGTGATTTACTTGACCAACTTATTACAATATGTGATGCATGTAATATAGTGATATATATATATATATATATATATATATATATATATATATATATATATATATATATATATATATATATATATATATATATATATATATATATTAGGTATTAGAGGGATGAAACAATATACTGTTCAGCCAGGCTGAGTTTATATATTTGGTTGTACCATGGTGCCACCTAGTGGGGAGATGGTGAAATGGAGTGTGTGGCGGAAGTGAGGGGAAATAAAGGACGTGTGAACTGAACATGTCGGTGGTTCTCGGTGTCTTCACTGTTATGGATATATTAACAGTTTAGTAGCAGTCAAAGTTATTACAGTGGCGATGAGGATGGGATAATCCTTAAAGAAGAAAAAAAATAAGGAAGACCCAGTTGCGGAGCGTTTCGGAAGTGGTTACACTAAGGTAACTGAACACGAGGTTGGCAGGCTAATCTAAGCTAACGGGAGCAAAGCTAACGCCATCGGAGCAGCATGGCAGCGTTCATTGGGAACCTTGGAGAATACAAGGAAGAACAAGAGGACTTTGAGTCGTACCTGGAGAGGTTTGAGCAGTGGATTATTGTAAATGAAGTGGATGATGGCAAACAGGCCAACGTTTTTCTGTCCGTGATTGGCGCTGAAGCTTACGGACTGTTAACGAACCTCTGTATACCAGATAAGCCTAGTAGCCTCTCATATGACGAACTGAGTGGGAAATTAACAGCTCATTACAAGCCAAAGCCGCTAATTATAGCTGAATGGTTTAAATTCCAAAAAAGGAACGAGCAAGAAAATGAGTCTGTGTCAGATTATGCAGTGGCATTAAAGCGCTTGTCCACACATTGTGACTTTGGCCGTCATTTAGACGAAGCACTGAGGGACAGATTCGTCAGTGGGTTAAAGGTGGAGGCTATTCAGAGAAAATTGCTCACTGAACAGGATTTGTCATTTGCAAAAGCATGTGAACTGGCTCTATCGATGGAAATGGCATCAAAGAATACAATGGAGTTTGCAAGTAACCTAAAAAGCCATTCAACTGTGAATAAGATAGACAAAAAGAGAGAAACTAAAAGTGCCTGGCAAACCAACCCAGCAGGTAGCGGGTGGAAAAGTACAGTCAAAAGTGAACATTCCATCCCACAGAGAAATATGCACCAGCCCTCTTACCGATGTGGTGGTAACAATCATGCAGCACAAGGATGCAGATTTAAAACAGAGACATGCCGGAAGTGTTCAAGGGTGGGACACATAGCAAGGATGTGCAAAACAAAAAAATGGTTGGGAAACACACAATATGTGGCTGAGACCAGCAGTCCAAAGGACACGGCAAGAAGTGAAGCTGAGGAGGAACTGTTCATGAACACGGTGTATTCCACTTATACTTTGGGGAAGGGAAAAAAGGACATTAAAGTAACTGTGAAATTAGAAGAAACCCCTATAGACATGCAAGTTGACACAGGAGCGGCAGTAACACTGGTTCCAGAGATAGTGTATAAGAAACATCTTTCTCATCTGCCCCTGGAAGCAACGAAAGTGCGGCTGTCAACCTTTTCTGGTGAGAACATACCCTTACTGGGTACAGTGACCGTTAAGGCTAAATATGAGAACCAGAGTGGTGTTTTCCCTCTGGTGAAAGTGAAAGGTGACAGACCAGCCCTCCTGGGCCTTAACTGGCTCAAGTTTCAAACTTGACTGGGCAGGAATATTCTCAGTGTTACCAGTAGGGGGCAGTAATGATACAGATGTAGAGACAGTGTTACAGAGACACACCGCCGTGTTTTCAGAGGAGCCGGGTACTATCCGAAAGTTTAAGGCCTGCATCACAGTAAAGCCCGATACAAAACCAGTTTTCAGGAAGGCAAGACCAGTGTCATATGCACTGAAGGAGGCAGTCGAAAAGGAGTTAAACCGGTTAGAGAAAGCTGGTGTTATCTCAAAGATAGAACATAGCCAGTGGGCTGCCCCAATAGTAGTGGTGCCAAAATCTGACAAGTCCATCCGCATTTGTGGTGACTATAAGGTCACAGTAAATCAGAGTGTGGAAGAGGGGAGCTATCCGTTACCTACGGTTGAAGACCTTTTTGCCACTCTAGATGGGGGCACTCTTTTCAGCAAATTAGACCTGTCACATGCCTACCAACAGCTGGTGCTCGAGAAAAACTCAGAGAAGTATTTAGTTATAAATACTCACAAGGGGCTATATGCTTATCATAGACTATCCTACGGTGTGTCTAGTGCACTCTCTATGTTCCAGAATGTGATGGACCAGATCCTACAAGGCTTGGAGCATGTGACCTGTTTTCTGGATGACATACTTATTACGGGAAGAACCAGAGAGGAACACCTGAGGAACTTAAAGGAGGTGCTGAGCCGTTTAGAGAACTATGGGGTGAGAGTGAAAAGAGAAAAATGTACTTTCATGCAGGAGAAAGTGGAGTACCTGGGCCATCTGATTGACAGAGAAGGATTACATCCAACGGAGACAAAGGTAGCTGCCATAGTAAATGCACCCCAGCCCTCAAACGTCACAGAGCTACGGTCATTTTTAGGGTTGTTAAACTACTATGGCCAATTCATGAAAGACCTGTCAACCGTTCTACAACCGCTATACAAACTTTTAAAGAAAGAAGTACACTGGGAATGGACACCAGAGTGCACGACAGCATTTAATAATGCAAAAGAACAACTAGTAAAGAGCTCAGTAGTGGTTCACTATGACACCAAGAAACCCCTGAGACTAGCTTGCGACGCATCCCCTTATGGGATAGGGGCGGTCATGTCGCATATCATGGAAAATGGAGACGAGAAACCAATCGCTTTTGCATCACGTACCTTGACGGAGGCAGAAAGCAAATACAGTCAGATCGAGAAAGAGGCACCGGCCATAATATTCGGCGTGACCAAATTTCATAAGTATCTGTATGGGAGAAAATTCAGTTTAATAACTGACCACAAACCACTCCTTTCCATCCTGGGACCGAAGTCCAAAATTCCCACTTTAGCTGCATTGCGGATGCAGCGATGGGCGTTGAGACTGATGGCGTATGACTACAGTATAGAGTACAGGACGTCGGCGGAGAATGCAAACGCAGATGCATTGTCTAGACTTCCAAAAAAAGGAAGGGATAATACAGCAGAGGAGAACGGAATTTTCTATTTCTCAGTAGTAGACGAACTTCCTGTACAGGCTACTGAGATTGCGCAAAACACCCTCAAAGATCCCGTCCTGCGTAAAGTACTGGAGCTGACTCGGCTTGGTTGGCCCAACTACATCAAAGACGAGACACTAAAACCATACTTCACCCGAAGGAATGAACTGTCAGTGGAACAAGGGTGCATTCCATGGGGAATTCGAGTTATCATTCCACCAGCACACCGAGAACAACTACTGCACGACCTACACCAAGGACACCCTGGAGGAAGCAAAATGAAAAACTTGGCCAGGAGCTACTTGTGGTGGCCTCAGCTGGATAAAGACATAGAACATGCAGTACAACAATGTAACGCGTGTCAAAGTGTGAGGAAACTTCCAGAACCAGCACCTCTACACTGCTGGCAGTGGCCTACCAGAGTGTGGCAGAGGATACATATTGACTTCGCAGAGAAAGAGCAGCACAATTTCCTTGTGTGAGTGGACAGTCATTCAAAATGGCTGGAGGTGATCCAAATGAAAACTACCACCGCAGCCAAAATGATTGAGGTGCTGCGAAACATTTTCTCTTCCTACGGTCTCCCTGAGGAGATTGTTTCAGACAACGGCCCACAATTTACCTCACAGGAGTACAAGGCTTTTCTGCAGAACAACGGCATCAAACAAACCTTGGTACCGGCTTACCATCCCGCTTCGAATGGAGCTGCAGAACGGGCCGTCCAGACCGTGAAGGCGTCGTTGCTGAAGCAGGTGCTGGATGAGAAAAAGCAAAATATCACCATAACAATGCAACACAGGCTTGCAAACTTCCTATTTTCTTACAGGTGTACACCACACAGTGTTACAGGATGTACGCCCGCTGAACTGTTCCTAAAACGTCAGATTAGGACCAGACTCTCCCTGCTGAAACCAGATCTTGCTAAAGTTGTGGAAGGCAAACAACAGAAACAGAAATACTACCATGACCGACCAGCCTCCACGTTGAGACATCTGTCAGAGGGGGACTCAGTTCTGATCTGAAATTTCCGCGGAGGAAGGGAGAGATGGACTGAGGGAATCGTGGAAAAGCGACTGGGACCAGTCACTTACTGGGTGTGGAACGGAGTAAATCGACAGTCAGTGCACATTGATCATCTGCTGTATAAGCGGCCATCCAGTCCAGAGACAATGGAGTTCCAGGAGCAGCAGACGGGGGTTCAGGATAACTACTCTGCAGCGGTCGAGCCAGATTTGGGGGGGAAAGGCACACCTGGAGCAGTAGGTGGTAGCCTGTACTCACCTGAAGCTACACCATTACCACAGACGCAGGCTAAGGACATGCCTGTAACACCGTTACCGGTTTCAGCGGCTGCTGACAAGGCAGTGACACCTGCCAACAGTGCAGCCAGGTCCACTGAGGTGTTGGAGCGCAGATACCCTCGGAGGGAGAGGGCACCTCCCAAACGACTGAACTTATGATCAGGTTGAGCTGTGGAAAATGAAAAAATAAAATAAAATAAAAGAGTTCCTGTTGGCAATTGAAAAAAAGAGTTCCTGTTGGAAAATGTAAAAAAAAAAAAAAAAAAAAAAAACAAGAGTTCCTGTTGGAAAATGAAAACGTATAAGTTAAATCTGTGGCATTAGCAGCAGTGATGGAGTATGTATAGGCTTTTGTGTTTTGGCAGGAATTTGGCTACAGTTAATGTTATTTAGAACGTGTGATGCTTTAGGGGGAACTTCATGGTTAAAAGGGGAGGAGTGTAATATAATGATATATATACATATATATATATATATATATATATATATATATATATATATATATATATATATATATATATATATATTAGGTATTAGAGGGATGAAACAATATACTGTTCAGCCGGGCTCAGTTTATATATTTGGTTGTACCATGGTGCCACCTAGTGGGGAGATGGTGAAATGGAGTGTGTGGCGGAAGTGAGGGGAAATAAAGGACGTGTGAACTGAACATGTCGGTGGTTCTCGGTGTCTTCACTGTTATGGATATATTAACAGTTTAGCAGCAGTCAAAGTTATTACAATGCATTTATACCCCAAGGCATAAAGAAGGCAAGAGCAAAAAAGCAAGTAGCCGTCGCCGCTGTAACATATGTTCTCCAAAAGACACACAGCACTCCCGAAAATAAAAATGAGTTTTCTGTACCTAATACCCATTTTGCCGCCCCCATTGTCCAGGTCTAAAACTGCTACTGTTTACAGCAATATATTCCAATTCATGTTCATCAGAATCAGAATCAGAATGAATTTTATTGCCAGCGCTCAGATCAGATCAGAGCGTAGGAACTTGACTCCATAGTACAACCTGACCAAGGTTACACACACACATATAGACAGGACAGATACAGGCAGACCACGGGAGCAGCCATGACGGCGCTCCTTTGTAGATGAATGAGGGAATACATGAGGAAAGTTCAGGGGAGGGAGAAAAAAGGCATTAACAGGGTTACACCAGCAGGGTCTAGCACTCTAATGCAAAAAACACCCGACATGTAAGCACAAACATCATTCTGGGTCCATTTGTGCGAAAACAAGGTCCAATCAGGCTGAAACGCTACAAGAAGGTAGAATCTATTGAGTTGTAAGTGATCTGAACGTTTCATGATGATAGCACTTTCCTAAGGGGGTCAAACCATGTCCCAAAGGTCACCGGATCTGGTGTCAATTTAAAGTAGTCCAGTTACACATTTGTGGGCTTATAACTTGGCTTCTGAATGTCCTAGAGAGATCAGGTTTGTTTTAATGTACTCCAATCAACAGCCCCTACAACCACAAAAAGAAATGGAGTCATTAGCACTTATGGTTTGTAAATGGCACCCAGAATTATGTTGCACGAAGCACAATGTCACATCATTCTGGGTTCATTTGTGTGAAAACAAGGTCCAATCAGGCTGAAATGTTACAGGAAGGTAGAATCTATTGAGTTGTAAGTGATCTGAACGTTTCATGATGATAGCGCTTTCCTAAGGGGGTCAAACCATGTCCCAAAGGTCACCGGATCTGGTGTCAATTTAAAGAAGTGTTCCAGTTACACATTTGTGGGCTTATAACTTGGCTTCTGAATGTCCTAGAGAGATCAGGTTTGTTTTAGTATACTCCAATCAACAGCCCCTACAACCACAAAAATGAATGGAGTCATTAGCACTTATGGTTTGTAAATGGCACCCAGAATTATGTTGCACGAAGCACAATTTCACATCATTCTGGGTCCATTTGTGTGAAAACAAGGTCCAATCAGGCTGAAACGTTACAGGAAGGTAGAATCTATTGAGTTGTAAGTGATCTGAACATTTCATGATGATAGCACTTTCCTAAGGGGGTCAAACCATGTCCCAAAGGTCACCGTACTCCAATCAACAGCCCCTACAACCACAAAAAGGAATGGAGTCATTAGCACTTAAGGTTTTTTAAATGGCATCCAGAATTATGTTGCACGAAGCACAATTTCACATCATTCTGGGTCCATTTGTGTGAAAACAAGGTCCAATCAGGCTGAAACGCTACAAGAAGGTAGAATCTATTGAGTTGTAAGTGATCTGAACGTTTCATGATGATAGCACTTTCCTAAGGGGGTCAAACCATGTCCCAAAGGTCACCGGATCTGGTGTCAATTTAAAGTAGTCCAGTTACACATTTGTGGGCTTATAACTTGGCTTCTGAATGTCCTAGAGAGATCAGGTTTGTTTTAATGTTCTCCAATCAACAGCCCCTACAACCACTAAAAGAAATGGAGTCATTAGCACTTATGGTTTGTAAGTGGCACCCAGAATTATGTTGCACGAAGCACAATTTCACATCATTCTGGGTCCATTTGTGTGAAAACAAGGTCCAATCAGGCTGAAACGTTACAAGAAGGTAGAATCTATTGAGTTGTAAGTGATCTGAACGTTTCATGATAATCGCACAATCCTATAGGGGGTCAAACCATGTCCCAAAGGTCACCGGGCCTGGTGTCACTTTAAAGAAGTAGTCCAGTTACACATTTGTGGGCCTATAACTTGGCTTCTGAATGTCCTAGAGAGGTCAGGTTTGTTTTAGTGTACTCCAATCAACAGCCCCTACAACCACAAAAAGGAATGGAGTCATTAGCACTTATGGTTTGTAAATGGCACCCAGAATTATGTTGCACGAAGCACAATGTCACATCATTCTGGGTTCATTTGTGTGAAAACAAGGTCCAATCAGGCTGAAACGTTACAGGAAGGTAGAATCTATTGAGTTGTAAGTGATCTGAACGTTTCATGATGATAGCGCTTTCCTAAGGGGGTCAAACCATGTCCCAAAGGTCACCGGATCTGGTGTCAATTTAAAGAAGTAGTCCAGTTACACATTTGTGGGCTTATAACTTGGCTTCTGAATGTCCTAGAGAGATCAGGTTTGTTTTAGTATACTCCAATCAACAGCCCCTACAACCACAAAAATGAATGGAGTCATTAGCACTTATGGTTTGTAAATGGCACCCAGAATTATGTTGCACGAAGCACAATTTCACATCATTCTGGGTTAATTTGTGTGAAAACAAGGTCCAATCAGGCTGAAACGTTAAAGGAAGGTAGAATCTATTGAGTTGTAAGTGATCTGAACGTTTAATGATGATAGCACTTTCCTAAGGGGGTCAAACCATGTCCCAAAGGTCACCGGATCTGGTGTCAATTTAAAGAAGTAGTCCAGTTACACATTTGTGGGCTTATAACTTGGCTTCTGAATGTCCTAGAGAGATCAGGTTTGTTTTAGTATACTCCAATCAACAGCCCCTACAACCACAAAAATGAATGGAGTCATTAGCACTTATGGTTTGTAAATGGCACCCAGAATTATGTTGCACGAAGCACAATTTCACATCATTCTGGGTCCATTTGTGTGAAAACAAGGTCCAATCAGGCTGAAACGTTACAGGAAGGTAGAATCTATTGAGTTGTAAGTGATCTGAACGTTTCATGATGATAGCACTTTCCTAAGGGGGTCAAACCATGTCCCAAAGGTCACCGGATCTGGTGTCAATTTAAAGTAGTCCAGTTACACATTTGTGGGCTTATAACTTGGCTTCTGAATGTCCTAGAGAGATCAGGTTTGTTTTAATGTTCTACAATCAACAGCCCCTACAACCACAAAAAGAAATGGAGTCATTAGCACTTATGGTTTGTAAGTGGCACCCAGAATTATGTTGCACGAAGCACAATTTCACATCATTCTGGGTCCATTTGTGTGAAAACAAGGTCCAATCAGGCTGAAACGTTACAAGAAGGTAGAATCTATTGAGTTGTAAGTGATCTGAACGTTTCATGATAATCGCACAATCCTATAGGGGGTCAAACCATGTCCCAAAGGTCACCGGGCCTGGTGTCACTTTAAAGAAGTAGTCCAGTTACACATTTGTGGGCTTATAACTTGGCTTCTGAATGTCCTAGAGAGGTCAGGTTTGTTTTAGTGTACTCCAATCAACAGCCCCTACAACCACAAAA